GGTGACGAATCCTGGCTATACGCGTATAAACCCGAAACAAAAAACCAGTCACGAGTTTGGGTGTTCGAAAATGAGTTAAAGCCAACAAAAATTGTTCGTTCACGGAGTGTTGCAAAAAAAATGGTGGCCACGTTTGTATCCAAAACCGGCCATGTTACGGTTATTCCTCTTGAGAGACAAAGAACGGTTAATGCCGGATGATATGCTATCATTTGTTTGCCACAGGTCGTTTCTGAACTCCTTAAAAAGAACTGCAACTGCCGCATCATCCTCCATCACGACAATGCGAGTTCTCACACCGCACACAGAACAAAAGAGTTTTTAAAGCAAGAAAACATAGAATTATTAGACCATCCGCCGTACAGCCCCGACCTAAGCCCTAATGATTTCTATGATTTCCCTAAAATAAAGAATAAATTGCGTGGACAGAGATTTTCATCACCTGAAGAAGCTGTGGACGCCTACAAAACGGCCATTTTGGAGACCCCAACTTCCGAATGGAATGGTTGCTTCAATGATTGGATCCATCGTATGGAAAAATGTGTCAAATTTCGCGGAGAATACTTCGAAAAGCAATAAATACATTTTTAAAGAGTAATGTTGTGTCACTTCCTTTAATTCCCGAAATTTTCAGTGCCGCCCTCGTAAGTATAAATATATTATTTTATAGAGCGTAATTTTATACACTAATAATTTTATTACTATTTATGGCGCTGTTGGATTAATTCGAACCTATTTTATGAAAATCTTTTGATATAATCGACCGATTTTAATAAAACACAGATTAAATGTAACGCGCATATACACTTTATGAATTTTTTAGCGATTTCATTGAAAAAAAAAATGTTTACTTGATACTGAATAAGTTCATAAAGAAACAGACAGACAATTCTAAAATGATTTTTGTCACAAATATATTATATTGTATATATAGACAAAAGTAATCACCATCTTTACTACAGTTATAAATTTAAAGAGAGATGGCGCTGTTAACATCAATTCTAAAAATAAAAGGAAAATTTCGACGCGATTAATACATTATATAAATCATATCGAACTTTTAAATCAGTGCCTGCTGAACAAATCACTCCCACAGTATCACAATCAAAGAAGAAATTTCGATCCTAGCCGAAACCAACGTAATGAGGGCAAATAATTTTACGCTCACCAGATGTCGCTAGTTGACATTGCGGTGAAGTTTTTTGTTACACAATGTCATTTAATTGATAATTTAGTTTTCAATAAAAGTTTATCAGAGTATTATAGTTTCTAGAGTATTATATTAATACTAATTCTAACGCAAAATAGACATCGACGATTCGGGGCCAGCGTGACAGTTCAATGTATGGTGGTAATCAACTAATAAATTCAAAATATGTACCTCACGCGGTAAAATTATAGGGTGTCGTTGATCGAAACTCAAATGTGAGTTGGTCAAGCGCCCACCTACTCTAACAATTTCATTCTGCAAAAATGACTATATGGCCGACCCATTGCCACTTCAGCTTACTAATCCGTTGGGCAATGTCGGTCAGTCTGGTTCTACTGCGAATATCCTCATTTCATCAAGTTCATCGCGCAAAGAAACCCCGAGCATAGCCCTTTCCATAGCTCGCTGAGCGACTTTGAGCGTCCTCATATGGCCAGCAGTGAAGGACCACGTCTCGGTTCCATAGGTCATCACTGGTTGTACAATTTAGTTTTCGAGTTTTGAGGTATAACTGACGAGAATATGTGTCGTAATTTCCCGAACGCTGCCCAGCCGAATTGAATCCGTCGATTGACCTCATGGTTGAAGTTAGACTTACCTAGTCGGACCATTTGTCCCAGGTAAACGTACTCGTCAACAACATTGATCTTAGTGCTCCCAATTACTACGGGCATAGGTGTGACATGGACATTAAACATGATCTTTGTTTTGTCCATGTTCATCTTAAGACCTATCCGTTGGGAGGCACTATTGAGGTCGTTGAGCATAGTGCTTAAGTCCTCCAGCGATTCTGCCATAAGGACAATATCGTCGGCAAATTGAAGGTGAGTGATGTACTCGCCATTGATGTTAATACCGTATCTTTTCCAGTCCAGTAGCTTGAAAACGTCTTCCAATGCAGCGGTGAGGGTTTCGGCGGTTCGGGGATATAACGTCACCCTGTCTTACCCTCGCTTCTATTGGATAGGTTTCGTACTCTGGTTCTGTACTCGGATAGCCATCGTAGTTTTACTGTACAAACACTTCGATATACTGACAGTCAACTTGGCACCGCTGAAGAGACTGTAGCCCGCCCAAATTTCGACGGTTTCAAAAGCTTTCTCATAGTCCACATACGTCTGTCAAAGTGGCAGATTGTATTCTTCGGACTTCTGTACAATTTACGAAGGGTATGTGTGTGGTCCATGGTGCTAAAGACTTTTCGGAAACCGGCTTGTTCGGGAGGCTGAAAGTCAAGTCTGCGTGTGAGACGACTCGTAATGACTCTCGAAACAGCACGTAGACGCGGCTCAGAAGGGATATCGGTCTGTAGTTCTTCAAGAGAGCGTTGTCACATTTTTTGAGAACAAGACCACCGCACTTCTGTTCCACGCCTCGGGAGTAGTGTCACCACGGAGAACGGAATCGTGAATTCCGAGGCACGGGGTTAAGACACCACTAACTTCCTGACTCCGGGCAAAAGGACGGAATTAAAGAGCCTCAGAAGGACGTCTAGTACCGGTTTTCCACCCACTTTCAGGAGCTCCGCTGTAATCCGCTGTAATCCTCACCCGGGGACCTGCCGTTTTTAAGGTGCTGAAGAGTCACTCTAATCTCACTCAGACTGACGTCCGGAATATCATCGGAATAGTGTGGAATAAGACTTGCTCTTGGATCGTTACTCACACTTGCGTGTGGCTCCAACGATGATGTGTACAGCTGCCCATAGAACCTCTTAATCTCACGAAAAATCTCAGCTGTCCCGGAAACAATGCCGACACACACAGTCTTTAGCTTTGACAGTTGGCTCTTTCTGGCAGACAGATCTCTGGTAAAGACTTTGGAGCCCTGGTTCCGCTCAATCGCTTCTTCAATACGAGCTGTATTGAAGTTGCGTAATTCCTGTCGCATGCATTTAAAGATCTGTCTGTACAGTTGCCTGTATGGTGTCAAATATGCTGACGACTGCAGCTTCATCTCCCGTCTAACGTCCATGAGATTAAGAGTGTGATCGGAGAGTATTTGTGTTCTTCTGCGGCGGGTCTTGCAGAACTTAGCTCCGACTGCTTGGAAATTTTCCACGTGCTTGTCACTATATATTTTATTTACCTATACATTAAAATTTCAACTATTTGCAATTTCAAACTCAACAATACGGCGTACCGTCCCGGTAATGCTAAGCAAAGCTAAATCTAACCAGTGTTAATAAATTAGAGTGCATTGTCCAAGCAATTGGTTCAGCAATTCGATCCAATCAGGCCACAGGATGTCGGTTCCAAATTCGCTCGATTGGACTAGAAAATGGTCGCACTAATGAGCTGAAAATAATGCGGTGATAAGGTCTCGGGTTCGATTTCCGGGTCGAGCTAAATTCTTATTATGCGGGATCGATTTTCTTGGTGGACTGTATGCGTGGTTCCCTATAACCAAACAAGGTGGCTAATGTGGCACGTGGCAGTCTTGGACGGTGCACTCGCTCACCCAATCTATTATTTAGCCAGTGTCCCAAGATGGAATTCTACTTGAGCTGTTAGGGGAAATAAAATATAGGAAAGAAAATAAACAGCTTAAGGCAGTCTAAGCAGCATTTACCGGGGTGGGGCTCCTTCTGCCGGCGGCTTCGAGAACGACGCCCCTAGTGTTGTGATGCGTTGGAAGAGAGTGAGCGCCGGCAGCGGGCGTCCTTTTATTGGTTGGCCATTTCTACCACCTCCATCTCGGTGGGGCGCGTTTCTTATTGGACGAAAATCGCGTCGCATTCTAGACTCCCCCCCCCTCCCTCTTTCAGTGCGTGTGGAATGAAATGCGTGAATATGACGGAGAGAGAGACACTGGCTGCTCTCGAATTTTGTTTTAGATACTAATCTAAAACAAAATTCGAGAGCACCCGTTTTTTTCTTAGCTACCAATATTATTCTTTAATTGATAACTTCTGCAATATATCCGGGCAATTACCAATACTAGTTTTATTATTTAGTAGAAGTAATTTGATATCCTTGATAAATTCGTCACTTTTAAGGTACGTCTTCAATCGTTCTCTAAATTTCTTTGTTACCATAAATGTTTTAGCAATGGACTGGGCGTTTTTTACAAGCATTCCAAAAACTTTACTATTGGATGTTAGTCTTTAACTTCATTTTATGCCAAGATTTCAACGAATCTGTAATCCTGTGAGGTACCCCTTCTGTTTCAGCGTTGATCTTTAATATAAGAAGTACGTATATGTTTTAGTAAATAACGTCTACTCAATATCTTGAGCCAGTTTTTATCATGTTTCTACAAATAACTGTACACAGCCAAGGTAGAAAGTCGGAGGCAAAATAATATATACGAATTCTGATTATCAAACCCGCGGAAAATCAAAACATTGGAGTGGATAAACAAGATGAACATGCGTTACCGATTATCCACGCTAGAGTGGATTTTTTTGGGTGGATAAACGGAATAACCCCAACTGTAAAACATTTTTGATTTTTTTTTCAATAGGTGGCAAATAAGACATGAAGTTTTTAATGTGAGTAACTCTTATAATATAACTCTTTAGACGACATTGAGGTTCTTATATATTTTAGGTATTAATTCTTACATACACTTCATCTTAAGCACCGAATTCAGAATATGAAATTATCATAATATATTTAATTCTTTGAACTCGACTTTTACTTTATATTAAAATTATTTTTTTGAACTTATAAGTACGCTACAGTATGGGTGCTTGCTAACTGGTACAGTATATATTTAATAAACGCTTCTATTCATAGACGTCTCTAAAATAAAAAAATCTAAGCCTAAAACCATTTTTAACAAATTATTAAGCGTAGTAAAATCTAGACGAATCACTGGCGTAACTTTTAAAGTAGTTAAAAATCTTCATAAAATAATCTGGAGGAGGTGTTGCATTTGCCGGTAAATTTTGAACTTTTCGTAGAAAATTGTTATAGCGAGCATTCTCTTCTTCTTTAAACAGCTGCCGCAAATTTACTTCTTCGTACAGTTGTATAATTCGCTTAATTTTTTCTGGATTTGAGTTTCCATAACATTCGTTGAAAATATTTCTTTGCTCGGTATTGAAGTGCCGTAATGCGACTACAGCCGTCCACGATAGTTTATTATTTTCAATGTCGTTAGTAGATTTTTTACTCATTGACTCGCCGACGTCGAAACACTCCGTAAAGTCATTCTAAATAAAAAAAAATACAAGACTTAAGTTATTTAAAAGCTACAGTCAATAAGTGTCTCGCTGCTGGGCACAGGCCTCCTCTCGTTACTAGTACTATTACTAACAGTTGGGTCACCACACTCCCCCAGTATGTACGTGATCGCACATTTCACATTAGGTCCTCGAATTGTTTTATTTCTCAGACAAAGAGATTTTCTCACAATGTTTTCCTTCACAATCGAGTAAAAATTTACAAATCAGTACTTAAAATTTCACTGGAGAGTTTCATTGGTGCTAGGTCCGAATAATAAGTATTTTGTAATTAACGTTAAACGAAACTTTTCAACTTGACCGAGCGTGTAATGATTGTGTAAGAATATCTAATACCTCAAATCATCCAGTGAGACGCAACTGAATGTAACTGAAACTGTGGATGGGCAACAGTCAACTTGGTATCTTCCTGGTTACAATTCAAAATAATAAAAAACTGCAGTTGCATACCCACCCACCAAACGCGGTTACTATGGCAAATATTCCTCTATTCCAAATATTCATGGAAGAGGCCTATTTATCCTGATTGGCTATTAATGATGAGCGATGATGAGTAACGATTTTTTCTATATATAATAAGGATGACAAAGGTGCATAAAGCCCACGTGATGGTAAGTACGTGCTGTGACTTATATACATCTACATTTATCTTAAATTGAGAATCAAAATATAGATGCGCTCTCTCGTTTCCAGTAAAAGAGTCTCTGGTTCTTTACTATGTTATTTTACGCTGGTATTCTGTGTGAGCTTGGTCCTACCCCTGTTGAGCCGACCAGTTCTTGCTGCAACCATAAAATAGCTGCAGCTTAGCTCTACCACGCATCAATAAATACCATATATAAATATTAGACCAATATTTGAGAAATACATTTGTAAAGCTTACATGAATCTGGATGAAAACGCCGAGCTCATTGCACAAATCAAACACAAGCTTAAAAGATTCTTCGTTCGCCTTATTACATAAAATTAACGCAAATAATGTCGCTGAGTTCATGAAAGGATATGAAGCTTTCATGTAACACATCCTATTATAAGCTTCCATCGTGAAATCATCATAGTTTTTCGTTTTGGTAAAATATAAATCTAGTAATTGCCCCATCTCCACTACGAGGTACATCTGCGAAAGAACAAATATTTTTTTTTAATTATTAAGCTCTCATTTTTAATTTAACCGCAAAAGTCCCCTGCTGGATAAGAGTTTTTCTGATTTCGGATATAAATCGTCTTAATTGCCACACTTGGTAGGCAAATTAGCAAGCTCAGTACAAGATATTCGCTGCTTCCCATCGCCAGTCTGGGTTTTACTATTATTTATATTTATTATTTATACTATTATTTATATTTATTATTATTTATATTTTTATTATATAAAGCCCAGACTGGCGTTATCATCATCGGCATCATATCTATTTTAAGTTCCTAAAGATGGTTACATTAATGAACAGATCATTAAAATAAAGAAGAAAGAAAGTGACCGTAAAGAGAGACGAAAGTGATGGTTTTCGAAAGAGAAGAAACTAAAACGATACGTCAAAAACGAGTAGAAGGGGTGTTGGTTGAGCAAATGGATGTGTTTGTGTACTTGGGATGTGTATTTAGCAGGAATGGTAGATATGATAAGGATATAGAGCGACGAGTGAACGCAAAGCACGGAGTAAATATGAAGCTTTTCGCCCTATTGTAGGAAATCAGAATGTGCCAAAAAAGCAGGCACGTATGGCAATTCACATTACTATGTTAGCCCTTACCTTAATGTATGAAAGTGAAAGTTGCGTGTGGCAGAAGAAGCACGAGATTAGAATATAATTTCTGTAGAAATGCGGTCTTTAGGATTAAGTAATTAATTAAGGAGTATGTTAAGACTGAATCTGAATATCAGGGTGGAATGAAAATGTAAATTGTGTGATACGAGAAATGTGTGGTGTGCAAGATGATGTTGTGAGCAGGATTAAGAATGGAATGCTTCGGTGGGTATAATAAAAACAGACGGTCAGCCGTCGTAGAGTCTACATCACCTGTGGATGCCTCGTGTAGAGGCGAAACACGTGTCGTATTATCATTGATGTTGTGTATTTCCTAGAATAGTGGTGTTGGAAGTAATGGCGCCGGGAGTAGTGGTGTTGGGAGTAGTGGTGCTGGTACTAGTGGCGACGGAATTAGTGCACGCAATTGAGGGAGGGCGGGAGGTGCTCTACAACCCTGGTAAGACACATTGTATTTAGTTAGCGGAAGGTTGCAAATTAATTAATATTTTTATTAAAAACGAGTAAAGCGATTTATTAAGGATGGTCCAAATTAAGATTACTCTTAACCAACGAGCACATAGAAGTAGGTATATGGACGTAAAGTATTCGAGAAAGGTGTGTCAGGATCGTGAGAAATGGCAGTCCGTGGTCCCTGCCTACTCCTCTTGGTGATAGATGTGAGTGTGTGTTTATGTTATGTTAAGTAACGTTGGAGATGTGTTGCCTACGATGGATAAAAAATTTGCTCAACTGTTAATTCAGTCGATGATATAAATAAATTTAACCTAATAGTTGACAATATTTTATTTCTATAGGGATGTTCTTGAGTGGGAGAGCCTAATCCTTAAACTATATATGTATAAATTTAAATTACCACATCACGTTTTTGATGTGTTATCGGTAACGAATAAACTATAACCTCAACTGTTTATTCTAAAACGATGAAATATATTTTATTTTACGCCTTATTTTTAGAGCATAATGTCATCCAGACCTGATTTCGGTCACGGCGGGAAGTTTCAACGTAGACAGCCGTCTGCGCGGGACAGGATTATAGTGCCCAAGAGTATGCGCAAGCGCAGTTGCACTGTCTATTCCTTCACTCTCAATGTCCGATGGATGGTAATCCGATACGACCGGAGAAAGAACACCAACTTACCGACTCCGGGCTGCTACTGAGAATTTCTTGACAGAAAAACCCAATAACTGATTTTTGGCTCGACTCATGATTGGAACCCAGAACCTCACGTTCAACGATCGCACTTACAACCACTAGACGAACGAGGTGGCATTAGATTAGAGCATAAATAAAGTACTAATATTTATTAATGACGATAACGATGTACGTAACCACTACGATTGTGACCATAGTGACAACTTCAAAGGTACGATTGTATACTGTCGTTAATTATCAGCTGTGTAGTTACATTCTATATAATATTTCCCCTTACTGAGCACCGGCTTCGTCTTATTTCTGAATAGGTTTTAGGCAAAGAAGTGTCCATCACGCTGCACTAATGATGTTCGTATTGGCGTGCTTCACATTTCTTCGAAATATCTTTTTTTATTTCTTGGACATGTAGATTTCCTTACTTTGATTTTCTTCACCGCCAAACTCGTGATAAGTCAGCACACTCCCACGTTAAACTTATATGACCATTTTAATATAGCGCTTCGCAAAAAAAAAACCCCTTAAACGTTCGTTGAATTCATTATATTTGAATTATCATGTAAAATTTTTATACATTCAAACCGTAATTAATATTGAATATTTTTAATTTCGTTATTTTAACAATATATCATATAATTTTAACATATCATATAATTGCGTGGCTTAAACGCAAAGCGCGTACGTATGTTTCACTAGCGCCTAAAAATCAAGAATCCAACGCTTTGAGCCATAAAATCGTATCTAAAAATCATATTGAACATATAAATGATATAAAAAAGCACATTTTCAGAAAAATAAATTAACGTTGAACTTCTTTTTTTATCGATTAATTGCTATTTTTATATTAAAAGGTGGTTTTAGTGGCTTACGGTTTAGGTTTATCAACTCAATCTATTTTTTAATCGTTCTTCGTCGTTTTTTGCTTTAAAATGATAACTTTTAAAATCAGGGGAGGCTTTGACGCAGCAATGGAGCCTGAATCACCCCAACTCCAATCCGTCAAGCTCTCCACCTCTCGGGGTAACACTGGAACACCATCAGTGTGGGTGACGGCCTCCGCTGGTGTCGGCCAGGCGTAGGGGAGGGGAGATGGGAGCGGTATAGCGAAATGTAAGTTAGGCTGGGGTCAAGAGCGCCGGTAAACGACAACTTCGTCCTCAACAGGTGAAAAAGTCCCCCCCCCCACGCCTGTAAATGACTAACCCCAAGGGTAGGACGAGGGTCCTCCAGGTAATTCTTCAACATTCAGCAGCTGCTTCCGTCGTGGTAGAAGTTTGCTTTGCAGAGGCCATCTATCGGAAGCTACAATACATTGCTGACATATCCGGTAGTAAACGAAATAGAGCCCTGGATTCTTCTACAACGCCTTCCCACGGTATTCTACTATTAATTATAATTAAAATGTTCACCGAACCTCATTGAAAACGTTTATGACTTGTGTATACATTGATTCGTCAATATTTTGTCCCAATATTTCGTTCATAAAACTTCGTAGTATCGTCGTGTCGTTTATAGCTAAAGCACTCGCATCAGGCATCAAATGCCAACAAGGTTTTCCTGAGCGTGTTTTACTCATATCATACACATCATCCTGCACCGAGATGTAAGTTTGATACTGAAAGATAAATTAACAACATATTAGTTTCCTTACTCCTCCGTACTCCTTTCCGGCCTAGAAGTCTAACTGGGTAGGAACCAAACCGCACTCTTACCTTATTTCCCGCCAAATAGCAGTGTTCGTTCCCTATATTCCGATCTGAAGAGTATAGGGAGACTTCAGACCGGAATACGGTAGTGCATATATTAATTACAGACTTTAAGGCAATTTATCTTGATCCACAGAAATGACAAAGCATCTGTAGCCTGCTTCATTTGAAATTGCAGGTGTCAATAGATTGCTGTAGCACTTTACCATCAGATCGATTGTAAGTTTGTTTGTTGCTTGAGCATTATAAAATGATAATCCCACTACATGGTCTCTATTTTGACAATGTTTGTTTCTTTCACTATGATAAGTTGATAAACCAGTGCTACCTCCAATCGTTGTTAGCGGTGATGATGCCGAGGATGGTAAAACGCACTGATTTAGTTTAATAACAGCCTTTTACTAACAACATTCTAATCAGTAGAAAAGACAGCTGCTGGAAAATTATTCTACTCCTTTGCTGTTCGTATACGTGGTAGAGCCATGATGCCGCTATATTATAGTTGTTACACGGATGGGTTTAGAGATTAAAAACTGTAGATATATTTGGAGACCGAAAAACAAGAATTTATTGAAAATCTTCTATGTGAACACAAAATAATTTCAATTTAAAAAGACTTAGAAGAATGGCTGATAGTGGAGAATGGATCGTTTCGGAAAAGAAGTTTTAGAATATTTTCGAAGGTACATTTTTACCGCCGTATGCGTATGGGTAGAGTTGTAGATTTAAAATAGAACCTTATACTTTTCCAGTCTACTAGTGCTCCGGATGCTGGAAGTGCAGTCATCTCTTAAGGTCGCGCCCAATAAAAAAAATTATATGCCCCAAATATGGTAATATTCACCCGAATTGCAATACCGACAAGTTTATTTGTATGAATTGTAAAGGACCACTTATAACCATGTATAAAAGTGTTCAATATTTTTAAAGTAAAAAGAAGTAAGAGACATTATGGCAAACCAAAACTGTTATTATCGAAAAGGTTTGGAAATATATTTAAAAGCCAAGGGGATTCAAGAATTACACACGAGAAGCGGGGGCATTGAAAGGGATAGGAACATTAACGATTCACAACTTGAGAGCACAAAAAACACGCAAAGAATATCTTACAGAGATATAGTGTAACAAATTGGACCTTTTATTAGCACAAGACAAAATACATATAGATTTAATATCTGAAACTTGGCTAGAACAAGATTCACATATGTGTATATCGTATTAGTAGCTATTATATTCTTAGAAAGGTAACCATAGGGTGGTAGATTATAATTTGCAAGTTGATTAAAGTACAACAATGTCCAATCATTATTTATCATTCGGGAATAGAAATAATTTCAGTCAAACATTTGAACTATAACGAAATTAAAAATATACTTCTAATATATTGCCCCTACACAGTGCGAACTAGTCTGTCCGATTGGGAACAATTTTTTACTATTTCCGAATAAATGCATTATAGGAACTTCAATGACCACCATACAACCTGGTCCTCCCAAATCGATGGAAGAGGAGGACAGATATATGATGCGGCTTTAGAGGGTGGTTTTACATCCCTTGATAATGGTAGCGTGACTAGAATGACTTTAGTTGATAACATTATTCAGCAAACATCGCCTGATGTGATATTTGTTTCCTCTGACTTCCATTAATTTGATCCATTATATTTAACCGGAGTGTTATGAATGAAAGCTTGGGAAGCGACTATACGTTTATTAAGTTTTTCTACAAGTATAATGGCAATATGAATCGAGTTTGGGTAACTAAAAAGCGTAATTTTAAACTAGCAAATTGGCCAGCAAATAGCAGGTCTTTAGAGAACTATTTATTACAGACTATAAATAACGTCAGTGTTCAATCTTTGTACGATGATTTCATTAAGCAAGTGAAGAAAGTTGCAGAAGAACGTATACCGTTAGTAAAAGCTGTGATAGTCCCTAAAATGACTTCCTGCCTAAGCCTTACTGGAATCCCACACTATCCCATTTGGTAGCACAACGTAGGTAGGCCTTGAAAATTTTAGAAAGTACCCCATTCTAACTAATCTAACTACACTTGAGCGCAAAAAAAGGGACGAAAAATGCAATTAATCAGGCGAAGGTAAGAAATTGGCAAAGTTCCTGCAGCAGTATTAACGAACGAACGTAATAACTCCGATATGTGGAAATGCATGGGTTGGATCAAAGTATTTAATTCGTCAAAGTCACACGTTTCAAACGAACAGAAGTTTGAACTATTTTGTAATCTAACTCCCAATTATGTTTTCCAAAAGCCGGAGTATTTCAATTCAAATAATACATTACTAGAAGCCAATTTCACCCTTCAAGAAAAGTGTAATTGTTTTAAATAAAAAGACAACACCTGGTAACGATGGGATAACATATATATAATTTATCACGTGTCATTAGGCTTTATTTGCTTGAACTATATAATTATATATTCAACACCGAGATTCTCCATTTCAACGGCGTGACATATTGGTAACACCAATTCCAAAAGTCTCGAATATTAATAATGTTAAACTTAGGCCCATTTCTTTAATATGGTGTGTCTGTAAAATTCTTCATTCAATGCTGGAAAAATAATTGAGTGTTATATTGGAAAAAAGACATTATCTCAGTATATGTACGTCTGGCTTCAGAAGAGGACAGTCATATCAAGAGTGCTTAGTCAAACTAGTAAGTCAAATTTAATTAGGATTTTCCCATAAGATTTCAACTATACCCTGTTTCCTCGATATTACAAATGCGTATTACATTGTTTTAGTTGATAAACTGATAAACACTTTAGATGAAATAGGGATTGTTGAAACGTTTGGTCAATATCTATGGATTTTTTAAGCGAAAGACACGTTATGATGCAACCTGAAACTAACCGGAATAAGTATTTTATTAGATAAGATACGAAAATCGATGTTTGGCGCAAGATGACCTATTTTCACCTATTCTTTTTAATATTGTTTCCAGAAGATAAGAAATGTGACAATGTGTCAAAATGCTGATGACTTTGTTTTATATTCTTTTTCTGAAAAAATTGGGGAAAGATGAAATCAATTTCAAATGAAGTTAAATACATTCTGTAATATTCTAGATGAAATGGGGCTAGAACCTTCTGTCTCTTAGTCTAAAATTTGCATTTTAGCAGGAGTTTTAGAAGACTGCAAAATTATAAAGTCATAACTTAGAGATAGTAGGCAGTTACAAATATTTAGGTGTGTGGTTGGACAGGTCGTTGCGTTGGAGCAAACATATTAACATGATGGTGGAGAAAGTGCAAAGTAGCCTTAATCTACTTAAAGTATTAGCTAGTATTTCCTGGGCCTTGCATCCTAAACATTTAAGAGTTGCTATTCATATGACGGGAGTACAAAACGTCATTAGATATATTAAATAGAATTCAAAATCAGGCACTAACAATAACATGAGGATTTATGAACATCACTTCAATCCTTGTTATGAAGAGAGAGCTTGGTGTAGTTCCACTGTACTTACGGAGGAAGTATCTAGCATACAAATTATGTCTATTAAGTTAAAATCGGCAAATAATAATATAACTACTTAGGTTTTAGATGAACTCCAAATTCTTCGACAAAATTGTAGTTGGAGAAAGAAAACCATTCCTTTACTGGTATTCGCATATAATAAAGTTAAATAAAATTCAGATAGCATCATCATGTCCTTTATTAATATTTACTTTGTGAACATGGCTGACCAATATTAACGTAAATGAAGTAATTGTACCTAATCTAAAATCGATCAAATATTTAAAAAGTTAAAATGACAGGGACTTATTAAAATTGGAAGTTATTAAAGAGTTGTATACAAAACTTAATGGCTGGAGTTTTATATTTACGGATGGATCGAAGAGTGTAAAAGGACATGGATCTGCATTTTGTATGCCTAATATAGATATAATACAAAATCAAAATCATCATTATTTTTTTGAAATAAGTACTTGTACTACTATTATGGCTTTGGAACTTGTTGTAATCTCGGAGGCTGACACATATAATCAGTAGCCAATATAAAAATGTCGTTATATACACAGACAGCAAGAGTTCGTTTCGTCATATAGCTCGATGTGCCTCTGGTTACGGAGGTATATCGATAGCTTATGACATTATATCCAAGATAGCCGAAATAACTTCAAAAGGTACCCTGCAGAAATTGTAATGGGTCCATCGCATATTAGGTTACAGGGTAACGAAAAGACTGACATGTTGGCAAAATATGCAGTTAAGAATAGAAAGAAAACTAATACTATTTTGGATTACTCAGACTTTTTACCTCAATTTAAAAATATATGTTATGAAGTTGGAAGGAATACTTTAATAAACGGGGATCTAGAAAAAGGAATTTGGTACAAAACCATACAGTGTCAGCCTCTTCATGTTCCCTGGTTCATGAATACTGGTTTTAGTAGGAAATTAATTACTAATATTCATAAACTCAGATCTGGGCACGTTCCATGTGAGAAATTTACCTTCTTGATGAGAAAAACAACCACGCCCAGTTGTGAGGACTGTGTGCCCAGTTGTGGAGTTACAGAAGACCTACATCATTTGGAATGTGTTCGATTTAAGTCTGTTAGAAGTAATTTAAAAAGGATCATAAATTTGAACAGAACTGACGTAGGCACATATCATTATATTTTATCCCAACCAAATGATGACGATGCGAAAGTTTTGTCAAATACATGGCCCACGTAGTTTAGCCCCTCGCATGTTGGGGTCATTTTGGCCACTATGGCGCATCTGTCGAGCACTTCCCGAAGTACTTCCAGACTACTTCCTGCTGTTCATTAAAATGACTATTTCCAAGATATTTTGTATAAAAGGTATATTAAAATCATATATCAGTGAAAACTTTATTAAATAAGCTATCGATATCGGGACAAAAAATAAGAAGGTTCACAAAAAAAAACCAAAAAAACACATTATTAAATCAAATTTAGACAAAATCAATCATACAGATATATAGATATATATGTATATATATATATATTATATCATATATACCTATGTTACAAATAGTTTGCTATCACTCGACGCCATATTATGGCGTTTGACAGATGCGCATTTTATTTGAGACATGAATATGGCGTTTGGACAGCCGAGGGGATAATAATTAACGTTATGTGAGTTAGTGGTGAATGTTAGGGTATAATGCGAGTGACATACGCTAAGCGATAAATGTTCCTTAAATTATGGTAGAATTAAAAAAAACGAATTGGTCAGCACGACCAGGGAAGGACAACGATCTCACAGAATATCAGCTTAAAACTGCAGCTGAATGCTGCTTTTGGTAAGAGAACGAGCAGCACTTTTAGATGGGAACGAAACATTCCATCTTAGTCTTCAAGGGTGACAGAGCATCTGCATTTTGATTCTTAATCAACGGTAGATGTCGATGTCTATGGGCTACAGCTACAGTACAGTACAGTTATTTACTACATTTTTTATTAAACTTACCACTTCTGTAGAACATGCCAAGATATATGCTTGATTCAACTTTTCTTTTGTTATATTTTCAGGTTTCTCTAACAACTCATAGGCATGTATTAAGAATTCACCTTGAATAGGAAACTTGGAAAGTATAAAATGTTCTGATATCTGAAATAATAGTTTCATTTTTATTTACATCTTTTTTCACCCTTAGACGTAGTGTATGAATAATAGAATTGTGTTTACCTTCTTGATTCGGTCCTTTAAGAGTGGATGATCAATATATTTATTCTGCTCCAATGCTCTGTCTATGAGTTTTGGATAATATTCTTTAAATTGTGCACAAAACTTGGATGATAATGTACCCGGTCTTTTTGTAAAAGCGACTCTATAACAGAATAGTTAGGAACTGTAGTAATTATAAGGAAGGATATGATATTGGGTCTTTACATATGAAATTAGCGTTTTGTCGTACTGACCACTTTGATCTGAAATATCTCCTCTTTGGTTAAGAATTCAAATTCAAATTTATAAATTCGTTTAGCTAGTATATTTGAATTTTGAAAACAGTCATTCATTTGTTTTTTCCTTATTATTTTTTCTTTGGCATCGCTTATTAATGCACAATGGAAAACATGAAATATCAGTATATTTACGAGTACGACTTCTACCGTGGCACCAGTGCTGCAGAAACAGATCGAAAGATTAATGATGTGTACGGCGCTGGTGTCGTAAAAGAAAACACGGTATGTATTTGGTTTCAACGTTTTCGACCTGGAAATTTTGACCTTCAGAAGCGAATCCATCACAACACACAACACTTCAGAGATAGCTGTAGGCTTCGGGGTAAGTGATAAAACTGTATTAATCCACTTGAAGCAAATCGGGAAAGTAAAAAAAAACTTGAACGAAAGGGTACCTCATGAATTGAGTGAATCGAACTTGCAAACACGCGTCGATTGCTGTGTTAATTTGCTCAAACGACACAAAAATGATGGAATTTTAAATCGAATCATTACTTATGATGAAAAGTGGTTACTGTACGGTAATCGGAAGTGCTCGTCGCAATGGCTGATCCCTGGAGACCCAGCCAAATCCTGCCCCAAACGAAAATTGACTCAGAAGAAGTTACTTGTGAGTGTTTGGTGTACTAGCGCCGGTGTCGTTCACTACAGCTTATTAAAATCTGACCAAATGATTACGTCAGGTATCTATTACCAAAAACTGCAAACCATGAAGGAATAACTAGCTGCTAAACAACCGAGATTGGTCAATCGCTCTAGGCCACTGCTGTTTCACGACAACGCAAGACCACACACTGCACAACAAACAACCACTAAGTTAGATGAGCTACAATTGGAATGTCTGCGATATCCACCATACTCCCCGGGCCTTGCTCCAACAGATTACCATTTTTTCCAGAATTTGAACAACTTCTTACAAGAAAAAAATTCAACTCCGATGTGGCAGTCCAAACCGCCTTCTAAGAGTTTATTGATTCTCGCCCCCATAGTTTTTTTTAAGGCAAAAGTGCATAGATAACAACAGTGCATACTTTGATTAATTAAATATAGGTATTTTACAAAAAAAAATATTTGTTTACTTTATATTCCTCCCGTACAAAACGCCAGTTTCATATATAAGGACCTAATATAATATGTCACCTTGTAACTAATGGCGATATAAAAATATCTACAACCAATATTCTCTCGTGGATGGCGAAAGAGACGACGAAGAAAAATAACACAGGCGAGCAGCAACTTGCTAACAACAACTAAAATTTGTTTCAAACCCGCCTGCCAAGAGTGGAAACTATGGCATATCCTCCTATGAGGTAGTCACTGGGGGAGCCTTATGATTGGCAGTGTACTTTGATAGACTTTAACGTTACTAGTTATGTGGCAGTATTATACTTTTAATAATACTAAACAAAGAAAGCATTGGAAGCTTAGTTATTAATAAATAGTGGCAGAGCCAAGCGGCAGCTTTTGCTGTCAAAAGAATGGGCCGGCTCAAACCGGGGTGGTACCATTACCTCATTACCTCACAGAATGCCAGCGTGAACCCCAATTCCCCCACCCCCTTAACATGGTAGCGGAATTACGTAAAGAACAACCTCAGAAGGGTACCAGCACACCTAGTGACGGAGAATCCCTCGCTGAGCATCCACGATCAAGTTATCCTACTTTTCCCGAGAGTGGGTGCTCAGGCAACCCCGCGTATTCTGGTGGGAGGGGCGCACTTGCACTCGCGACTTAAACTGCTCGGGGCAAGCGGAGCAACAACACCAAGGTGACCACTGCAACGCTTTCCGTGAATTTTCGCAACATCAGGGGACTTCATTCCAAACTTAACGCTGTCCACTACCATCTGATGACGGCGAAATCGGCCTTACTTTTTTTAACTGAAACTCAGGTGTCCTCTCCAGCTGATACTTTGTATCTCTCCTACCTGGAGTACAATTTAGAACATTCCTTGGTGCTCTAGGCTGGATTTTGCATATACGTCAGAGAGGACATCTGTTTTCGACGCCTCGGCAGTCTTGAAGGTAAGGACTTGTCCACCCTATGGCTTCGCGTATTCAGCGACGATTATCCTCGCGTTAAAGGTGCCCCATTGGGTTCCATAGCGGTAATACCGAAACAGACCGACTCATCGACCACGGTCAAATGGCTACATATTCTGTGCTACAGCGGATCCCATCCGCAGAGATAGTGATCTTTGACGATTTTAATGCCCACAACACCGAATGGCTCGGTTCACGTTTAACCGATCTTGCGAGGAGATCTGTTTATGACTTTGCTTTGGTATATGGTCTGACACCACTGGTTACGTCGCCTACGTGGATTCCAGATGTGGAAGATCATACACCTACCCTGTTGGACCTTCTGCTGACCTCTCATCCGGAAGGATATCAAATTTCCGTCGATGCACCTCTAGGCTTGTCGGAACATTCTCTTGTCAGGAGTGTGGTGTTAGTCACATTAACGTCACATTTGAATTCTGCAAGTTGCCGCCGTGTTTGGCACTATAGGTCAGACGATTGGATTAGGATGCAGTTCATTTCGATTCCAGCGTTATTACGGATTCTGTCGCTGATTTGATACATCAGGGTATGGAACTTTTTATTCCGTCCTCTGTGGTACCCATCGGAGGCAGATCCCAGCCATGGTTTGATCGCTCCTGTAAAATAGCATCACGCTATAATCGGGAGTACTACCGGGTTTGGGATGACGCATCAACGTTTCGGCCTTCAGGTACTTCAAAGTATCATTGCCAAGGCAGAGTCTGAACACATCAGCAGAATTTGCGAGAAGCTAGTTCGGCTTCCTTCGGGAACCCGTACATACCGATCTCTCGCCAAAGCTGTCCAAGGAAACTTCTGTCAGTCATCTCTTCCATATCTGCATAGAGAGGACGACTCACTGGCCCATGTCGCAAGGGAGAAAGTCGCTCTCTCTTTGCGTTCAACTCAACTCTCGATGACGGGGGAACACACCGCTGACCATCCCGCAGTGTAAGTGCTCCATGCCCGATGTGCGATTTACACAGCGCTCCGTACGCAAATCACTCCTCTCCCTGAACGTCAGCAAGTCGAGTGGGCCTGATGGAGTCCCTCCCATTGTGCTGAAGACGTGTACTCCGAAGTTGGCACCGATTTTAGCGCGTCTTTTCCGGTACTCCAACTCCCAAGGCGTAGTCCCAAATTCTTGGAAGACAGCTTTCGTCCACCCGAATCCTAAAAAAGGCGACCGCTCAAACCCGTCCAACTACAGGCCTATCGTCATCACCTCCTTGTTCTACAAAATAATGGAGTCCATTGTAAATTTATACGTCGTAGACCCATGCTGCAGTTATATTAGAAGTATAGTTGTAACATGAATGGGTCGGCTCGACCGGGGAAGGACCACGCTCTCACTGAATCCTACCGTGAAATGGTAGCTTGATACTGCTGTGTTTCGTATGGTGAGTGTAGAGAACCGGAGACCCTTTTTACTGGAAACGAGGCATTCCATCTTAGTCCTCACGGGTGACAACGCATCTGCATTTTGATTCGTAATAGGATTCGTAAGAGGATAGATGCAGATATCTATGGGCCACAGCAACCACTTACCATCGGGTGGAATGTATGCTCGTTTGTCACCCTATCCTATAAAAAAACTGCCTCCTCATGTGACCGCCAATACGATTTCCGTCGTGGTCGATCGGCTGGTGATCTTCTTGTCTACCTGACTCATAGATGAGTGAAGGCAGTAGTGTGCAAGGGGGAGGAAGTGGCCGTTAGTTCGGACATAGCGAAGGCCTTCGATTGGTTCTGACACAAAGCGCTTCTTTCAAAGCTCCCTTCCTATGAGCTTCCTGAGAAATTGTGCGATTGGATTACTAGCTTTCTTACTAAACGGAGCATCAAGGTCGTAGTAGACGGTGCATGCTCTGATTACAAGCTTATTAACGCTGGTGTTCTTCAAGGTGGTGTGCTATCACCAACGCTGTTTCATCTGCATATTAATGATATGTTACAAACTGGTAACATTCATTGCTATGCAGACGAAAGCACTGGTGATGCCTTATACTCCGGCTGTGCCAATATTTATGGGGAAAACGTCGCCGAGTACGGGGACAAACTAGTGAAATCAAGTTAGTGCTTAACAAAGTCTTTGATTCATGGCGACTAAATCTAATCCAATTCAATCGTCGTCGTATCTCCTCAGTTTGAAGGCACTCGCCTTGCTACTTCAGCTAGCATAATAAAAATATAAATTACTTCGCAACCTTCCGCTAGCTAAATACAATGATGTGTCTTACCTGGATTGAAGAGCACCTCCCGCCCTCCCTCAATTGCATGCACTAACTCCGTCACCACTAGTCCCAGCACCGCTACTCCCAACACCACTACTCCCGGCACCACTACTTCTAACACCACTATTCCAGGTAAGACACAGAAACTACTTTAATGCATTTATTTTTAAATTTAACAAATTAATACACTAAAAAAATTGAAATTATTAATTTTACGATTAAAAAAACATAGTTAATAGGCTTTACGAAAAAACGAAAATTGATTGAAAAATATTTACTCGGTTATAACATCTTCAAATAGGTACTAACGAGGATATTCACAGTAAAACAAGAATAACTAACGTAGCTTAATGTTATATACTCGTAGGCGTCAGGACGACGAGATTTCGTCGCACGACGAGATTAAACACACACCTTTCTTTAGTGTCCTAATTGAAGCTTGCAAGTGATCGGTCGTACGATCGTTCAAACAAAGCTACAAAGATTTTCTGAGTATCCTCATTGATCACGCGGGCGTCTGGAAAATGCAACGAGTAAAGACCTAAGAGACCGAACAGTAGAAAAAACTGTGCATCTCAGTAACCAACCATTGTTGAAATGGTCAACGTGCGATGGGCATCGCGTAAACTATTAGGACACATGTTGAATAACCGCACGATCCCATCGTGCAATGAAATCGCATCGTTTAATCGTGCGATCGATAGCCAATGAGGAACGACGCCATAGGTTAAAGAACCAAAAACCGATATGGGAAAACAAAACTACGATATTTGATGGACGGGATTACATTTCCTATTTGTGACAAAATGCATAAAGGCTTTCGATCAACTGTGAACTTTAGACGGACTGAATATTGATGTGAATAAAGTAAAATAAAGTTATAGCCTATATACGTCCCACTGCTGGGCACAGGCCTCCTCTCATTTCCGAGAACGTTTTAGGACAAGGAAATGTTTGCCGCGCTGTCCCAATACGTGTTGGCGAAGTCTTTGAAATAGTTTTTATCCCTCATACAAGCAGGTTTTTACTGCCGAGCACATGGTAAATTGGTGCCGGCGGGAACCGAACTCGGGTTGCTCGCGTACTGTGAAATTTACAGCGAACACTTAAACACTCGGCTACCTCGGCTCATTGAAAATTGATGTGACGGTAATTATTTAGTGTACAAAATATAAATTCATCTTGTAAATGATATGTAAACATCTGTGTTATAACTTCGAACTTATTAGCCTTTGAAATCGTTAGCAGCGGACTTATGTTCTGAAGTTAAAGACAAAGGCGAGCTGTGCGACGGGTATAGATAACCTGTAAACTTAACGTTGCAAATCAACATTCAACACTGTAACTACAAATTAAATGGATCACCGGGAAATTTATGGCGAGAATTATACCCTCAACAACCTCAACGAAAAAGTATAAAAACATAATTATATAAAAACTGTGGTAGGCCAAGCGTTTGCCTTAAATTTTCATAGAGTACGAGCAAATCGATTACAGTCTTCAGTCGGCATTTTAACAATGTTAAATGCTGTGTAACCACATAGAAGGGAAAGTAAATTAATGTGATAAATACTGCATCTTTTTACGAAACTGAAGTGACAAACGAAACTATAGTCCACCTGATGGTAAGTGCCCACTGCGGTCTATTAACACCTGCAGCCAACTTCAAACAAAGAAGGCTACAGAGGGGTTGTCACATCTGTGGACTAAGATGGAATGCCTCTTTCCAGTAAAAAGGGTCTCCGGTTATCTACACTCACCATACGAAACACAGCTAATGCTGCTATTTTACGCTGGTATTATGTGAGAGCGTGGTCCTACCCTGGTCGGGTCAACCTATTAGTGTTACAACATTACAGCGCAGTGTAACTCTACCACGTAAATCATTACTAAAACAAATTATACTGGCTCTCTTTCACTTCAGGCCGGACACAATAGTACAAGCATTGTTATTTGGCGGAGAATAGGCAAGGAGATTGTACCTACTCTGACGGAGTCCTACCTCATAGCATGTCTAAGAAATTTAAAAAAAAATCAATTTCTTATATTTACGCGAAAACTACACATTGATTAAAACTACTTTTACGGATTTTATCGCGTTTATTTTGAATTAACCGTTACATGAGATTGATAGACCACAAATCCTCGCGAAAGAACATCGACTCCTACCAAGGATGATACGTGAGGCTATTGAAATTAAAAAACATCCTAATTTCAATAGAGAAGCAGGCTGGGTACTACCACCTGTTTGGGACTCTATAATCAATAAAAATAAAACTAAACCCAAGTATACCACTACAAGACTTCAAGACACAGTCAGTTCATTTTGCATAGATCGGACCATAAACAATAATTAAAAAAGCTGAATGTGCTGCGGGTTTAAAAATGATATATGTACGTCAGTCATCTCAGTCCACCGTGACCATGGGGGCTGGAAAACACCCGAATCGTCGGGAATTTAAAATAATTAAAATTAAACGCGATAAAATCTGTAAAAGTAGTTTTAATCAAAAATTCAAGAACTTTTGAAATCCGCTAAGCATTATTTTATAGAATAAGGGTTACAAAGGAGCACACAGTCTATCTGACGGTAAGTGGATGCTGTGGCCTATAAACAACTACATTTATACTCGATCAAGAATCAAAATGCAGATGCGTTTTCATCCCTGAGGACTAAGATGGAATGCCTCGTTTTCCGTTAAAAGAGTCTCCGGTTCTTTACACTCACCACACGAAACACAGCAAGATTTAGGCTGATATTTTACGCTGGTGTTCTGTGAGAGCGTGTACATATCTCGGTCGAGCTTGACTAATTCACGCTACATCTTTAATATAGCTGCAGCGTCGCTCGTCACGTAAAAATTTTAGTTACTAGAAAAGCATTGCTGAATTTAATTTGTATCAAAGTGCGTTAAAATTAGAAGAGGCTTTTGCTTAGCATCTGGACATAATAAATTTATATTTACAAGTTAATATTTATTTATACATCAAAAACTGTTATATATACCTATTTGTCTTTTCGTATTAAGGTTAATAAAAAAGAAATACGTACCGACTAGCACAATTTCTATAAATCGTAAAGAAATGTTTTTGGTTTATCATTTTTAAATCAACTGAAATAGCGTATGATATGGTTTGAATAGCAATCAACAGTGTCTCTGATTTAGTTTCTTTCAAAGTAACCTTAAACCAAATCTCCCTCAAGTTTGAACTTAAATATGCTCTCCGTCCTCCATACTCAATTAAGTTTCTCATCGAAAAGCACTTTACTTATCAGTTAAATGTAACAAGTAATTGCTAAGGGCCGAAACATTAAAGATATTTTTTTTCCTTTGAAGTGTACTAATGTTATTTTTGTCTTTGACTCCATTATTTATTTATGACCAAACTCAATAACGGCTCCTTGACGCAAAGCACAGCGTCAAGTCACGGCGCCGAGGGTCGCGGATTCGGATCCCTCTCGCAAACAGGTATTTGTATAGCCCACAAATACTTATTACGGGTCTGGATATTTGTTAATGAATTTATGTATAATATAAATTACCTCTACGATACAGGAGAAATTCCTAGTACGGGGGTAAATCTTTTTTTTTAATGTTCGGCAAGTCAGAGAGTACTAGTATATAACTATTTACTACTACTACTAGTATTTAAGTACTAGTGTTTAACTTTACAAATGATCTACAATGCACTTGATGATAACGGGCTGGCTGTTATTGTTATACTAATAACATTAAAGAATCGAAAAAGATATCGTTGACGAAAGAAATCTTGAAAAAGTGTTTTTTTTTTATACAACTTAAAAACTTTGCGTGAAATCATTTTTTTTTTTTTTGGAATAGGCTTTTTTGTTAAGCTGAAAAAACTGCGTTGATTGCCGTAAATTACATCAACATCGTTTGTTTTGTTCGTGAAATACTCAATTTAGAAAAAATTAAAAAATACGAAATCGCCTGCAGGGTCTACTTTTTATTGTGTTTTTCCTATAATTGATATTTGTACAAATATTTAAATTTAAGTGCCTAATTTATGTGTGTGGTATGTTGGCAATAAATGTTTTTTTCTTTCTTTCTGCTTTCTATCACTAGAGATAGATATATTTTTTGCAAATAAATTATTGCACATTTCACAGTACACACTTGAAACCCACCCAAAACAAACGACGAATGCGTTGACATCCTCGAGGATAAAGATTAAATACTTCTTATAATGTAATTATTCTAATTCTAATACTCTTATATTATAATAATTCACAAATCGTCGCAAAGCAAACTATCGATTCCCGTCCTGCTTAAAAAAGACATTATAATTTTAATAGCAGAAGTGGTCGGGTGTTAATTAGTTAACAAAGGCTAGAGATTATGTCATTAACAAAATGAAATCCAAAGACAAGCATACTATCTAATAAGTCTTCATGTGATTCTATTTCGTCAGTCTGTAAAAGTGCTGGACGTTGGCCTCTCACGTTGTGGGGAGGGTTTGGAATAAACGTATCGCAATGCCAGACGTCTAGCCGAACTGGGTTTTTTCGTGTAGGTTAAACTGGTTTACCAGTTTAATTTGAGTTGAGTTCTTTTTGGTATTAGTGGCGACATCAGCGGGATGAAATGGGGCGGTGGGTTCCATTGCGCTGTCACCTCCTAATAAAATGTATTAAATTTTGAAAATTATTAAAACCACTTCGTCACTTGTCTCATTTTTTTAAGTATCAAATTAATTATAAAATGTTGTGCTCAAAGCACTAAAGATATAAAAAATAAGGTAAAAAGTAAGATAAATATAGTGTAATAAATAAAGACGGTAATATAGTGTTCTGTAACATTTAATTACGGCCGAGCGACACTGTCGATAACATGGCGGATAGTGACAGTGATTTATTACTCTAACGATCTTATTATGCCATCAATTCAATACGCATAATTAGAGAGACGCAGTTGTTCTGTGATTTTGGCATGGCATGCAGTGCGAACAATTATTTAAGGCACGCTCATCTTTTGCTCTAATATTTTAACCTGACTGCCAAGAAAAGGTTATGTTTTTCACGCGTATCTTGTATGTATGCAAATTTGTTTGTAAAACAACTCTACATTTATTATAAATACTTATTTATTTTTGCGCACCTTGTAGTGATGAAGTTGATGTGATATCGTAAATTGTATGGATGTGGACAAGTTCCTAAATATGTAACCTTGGGGTGGGCTAGTGACACCAGGTTAAAGACCTGCATGACAATCTCTCTTGTATATAGTTATGGCCTCCAGACCTGATTTCAGTACACTAGCAAACTGCGCAGGACAAGATTATATTCAGATTCATTATTTCCTACAATGTAGGTACAGGTATAAGGTGGTACATCACTAAGTGTGTCTGTTACATTCTACCTTATAGCATACAAAGTTATAAAAACTAAAAGATACAGATATTATTATGCACTTACACGTGCGCAAACACAAGTGGACTTTCTAATAACCTCATAGTCCGATGAAGCGACCTTTCGTCATAACTTTATAGAGACAGGCGCAGAACCAACAACTTAAGATGCTTTTCCGAGTCACGGGAGTGCAATTTTTATTTTGTTCAATACTCTTACCAATTTCAAAAAATCCACCAGCTCGTCTTGCTCCAGTTTTGCCAGAGTAAGAGCTAAATAATAAAGTAAAGCTTTAAGTTGCAGCATATCAACGTCCCACTGTTGGACACAGATCTCTTATTATTTTGGAGAGCATTATGAAGTATGTGGAGCAGGCTTCGACCGTCAGTCAGGCAAACTTTCCATGTCCCCGAAATATTTAATTCCTTAGACGTGCAGGTTTTACTCAGCATAGCTTTATCAAGTCCGGGTTGGTCACGTACTGTAATATTTACATTACGCGGGAATTTTCACAGTACGCGAGCAACCCGGGTTCGACTCCCATCGGCACCATTGAAATTGTTAGTTGCAATTTTAAGTCACGTGCTTTGCGGTGAAGGAAAATGTGGTGAGGTAACCTGCATGTCTGGAAAATAAGGAAAAATGTTTAGAAAACATGCGAAATTCAGCAACACGCATTGGGGCAGCGCGGCAAACATTTCTTAGCCCTAAATCCTTCTTAGAAATGAGGACGTATATAGGCTGTAACTTTCACTTTTTTACTTTGAATGATACACTATTGACGTATTCAATGTGATTAATCCATCTGTTGCAAGGTTTTCGTTGAACGACATAAAAATTTATTGTATAAAACTTTTTTTATGGATTTTTAAATTTTGAATCCGTAAAAATAGTTTTTTCCAATGTGTAGTGTTTGTTTGTTCTATAAATTTTAGCTAATAGAGCATTTAAAATACTTCCTCCGAGACCAACGACAGACAGAAGTGCAAGTCGTATGGATCAGCACACCGAACGATTATGGCAATTTTTTTTAGTACGGAAGAGACCCAACGTCATCAGTGAACTGATAACTAATTGGAAGAAAGAATCGGATATGGCATCCGACGCGCCAGCCGCCTGATGAAAATTTATTTTGTATGTAATTTTAATTAATTTCAGATTTATGAAAATTTAAAAAAGGCCAGTGTTTTAATTAACTTCCTGCAACGCTGGAATTCATCGGAAGTGTTGAGCGGCAGTAATTGATTTATATAGTTTATAATATTTAGGAAGAAATAAAACAAAAGTTCTGTTTTGCTAAATTTATGTTTGCATAGTTAGGAAGCAGTTTTGATGTAAACGAACGCAATTGTGTGACAAAGTTTAACTTTTAGCATACTGAGTCAGCATTGCTGACGTACAACTTAAATTAAGATAATGCCCTGAAAAAGAAAAGAATTCAATCTTATTCAGACATTTAATGGATAGCAACGAAAAATGTCCGAAAAAGTGAAATTTCCGTATCGTGCGACTTAAGAGAAAGCCATTTTATCTCGAGTGTCCCAAAACTGACTGAAGTGATCTCGGATAGATGGAGTGCAAAATTAAGTACTATTTTTAGTAAGAACGAATAAACATTTTATTTCTTACTATCTTTCTATTTGGCACTACCATTAACAACAATCACAATAAAAATAATGTACATCAGATCGAATTCCGGTCACGGCGGTCAATCTAAACGGAGACTAGCTATCCGTGCAGAAATGTATTATAGTACATAAGTGGGTGCGCTATCACAGATGCACTTTCTACATTCGATCGCATAGTTCGATGGGACGACAATCAGACACGACCGAAGAGTGATCAGGCGCAGGACCATAAACGTCTTTAAGCGATTGTTGTGACACGGCAGTATAACACCACTAACTCCCTGACTTAGAGTAGCTACCCGATATGATTTGATATAATTTGGCATAATCCTGGATTCGATCACGAGACCACATGATCAGCAGCCGCACTTACAACCACTTAACCAGTGAGGCAGTCAAAAAGTTTGATGTTAATATTGGCTGATAAGAAAAAGTATAAATAATTTATGCGCTTCTACCAGTATAATCGCAAATCCATAAAGTCCGTTTTATCTCCGCTGTAACAAAAGTTGGGCACTAATCTTTCTCTTACGATTTGTGCCACATCAGTATATTTGAGAAACTTTGATTTATAAGCAGCTGTGTGGGAGATAAGACCAAAGACTGGGCTTCGGGAAATCGTGCTGCATCACGATAACGCCTTTTGACGTACCTCCCTTAGAACAAAAGCATTTATTGAGGAATCTGGTGTTAAAACTCGAAGTCACTTACCCTACAGCCCCGACTTAGCCCCTTGTGATTTCTTTTTGTTGCCAAGAGAATAAAAAATAAATAAAAGGGAAGTTTTTTTTAAGCACGACAGAAGCCGTGGCTGGCTACGAAGAAGCGATTTCCGACCTGTCAGATCAAGTAAGTGTTTTCAGAGTTGGTTTAGGCGAACGGAACTTTGTATAGAGCATGATGGAGAATATTTTGTAAAAATGTGAAATAAATATTAATATTATCTAGAATACTTCTAATATATCTCAAAAATTATTGAATATTCTACGTATTCCAGATATCATACACTATCTCTAATGGTAAAAAAAGATGCAAATAAAATAAAAACTATTATTCCAGATATCAGAATATTTTGTACTTTCCAAGTTTCTATTGCAAGGTGAATTCATAATACGATTTGTTAGAGAAACTTCAAAATATAAGTAAAGAAAAGTTTAATCAAGCATACATCTTGGCATGTACTTAAGAAGCGGCAAGTTTAAGAAAAAAAAATATAGTGAATATTTTAAGGTTTATAAATGTTAAACGTAAATTGT